TTGTGATTGAATCACACGTTATAATTAGTGCAAATGTGAAACTCTGAGACTAATTGACAAAATCTTTGCAGCTCTCAAAAAGCTTGTCTGCTTATTATTGTTATTTTTAAATCTCATTTTCACAAAGCGATTCCACCTAAGCTTCACCATCTGCATAACAAGTGCAATCAGCAAGCCAAAATTAAAGCATCTGCAACCCCTGTCCTTGGAATCAGTCACAAAGCAAAACTGAAAAGATCCTGTTTTAGGAGGGAAAAATCTGCATTAAAAATCTAAAGGCATCATGGCCTTCTGTTAATCTCCCTCCACCAAAGCTAACTGCATGCTCACCAGTTAGAAAGACCACAGACAAATGGGCTGCATCTAGACTGGCAAGTTTTTCCACAAAAGCAGCTGCTTTTGCGGAAAAACTTGCCAGCTGTCTACACTGGCTGCTTGAATTTACTGACGATCTCATGTAAAATTGTCCGTGTTCTTGCGGAAATGCTATGCTGCTCCCGTTCGAACAAAAACCCTCTTGCGCAAATGCTTTTGCGCAAGAGGGCCAGTGTAGACAACGCGGTATTGTTTTACGCAAAAAAGCCCCGATCGTGAAAATGGTGATCGAGGCTTTCTTGCGCAAAACCGCGTCTAGATTGGCATGGACGCTTTTCCGCAAAAAGTGTTTTTGCGGAAAAGCGTCCGTGCCAATCTAGACGCTCTTTTCCGCAAATGCTTTTAATGGAAAAACTTTTCCGTTAAAAACATTTGCGGAAAATCATGCCAGTCTAGATGTAGCCATGCTGTAATTAAATGACTTTGTCGGTCTTACTTTATTTGTCTTCATCAAGCCTTACAGTAAATGCTTGTTTAATGGCTCTAGGGCCCTTTTTCTGTGTGGTGCAGGGGGGTTTATGACATTACAGTTAGGCAGAAATGTGCCATAAGCAGGAAAGTCAAAGACGGTGGTTGCTCTGCAGTATGGTCATAGAAGCCTCATTGTACAAATACCACATGGCTGGGTCACCCTGGGTCTTGGGGGAGGAATCCCGGGAAACAGACCTTTTGCAGTCTATACTGCAAAACAATCCAACCAAACCCAAAACTCACAGCACATCTCAGAGCTTAGGCCCACAGAGCTAGTGCTATGGGGATAAAAATAGCAATGTAGATGTTTCCCTTAGGGCTGGCACTGGGGTCTTACACTTGGAAATGGGGAAGGGAAGTGGCAGAGCCCAAGATCCGATGGGAGCATCTACACTGCTATTTTAGCCCCATAGCCTGAGCCCCATGAGCCAGAGTCAGTTGATCTGGACACAGGACTTGCTGCCTCTGTTATTATTACTATTTTTTTACAGCATAGATGTACCCTAAAGGTGGGATTCTTTAAAGCCCTCCGCATTGACCAAACTCTGCTTTTATTCAAGTCAATAGTAAAATGCCCCATAGCAAAGTGAAGTGAAGGCTGAGCACTGATGAAAATGCCCCCCAAGTGGTGTTATTTCCAAGGACAGGGAATGCTGCTGAGGCACAGATCTGTGCACTAACTCCAAGGCAATGTATTTACCACAATGTTTGCAGCCCACCTCATCAGTTTCCTAGCCAGGAGGTTGCTTGAAGCCAGGACCATCCCTAGGGAGTGAGGGTGCGGAGCCCAGGGTAACCCCCATCATGACACAGGCACCTGGCCCACCCCTTCCTGCCCCTGCTCACCCTTGTGCACCAATGGGAAACAGAGTGTCCGGATTCAGGCCCCTGGGCTCTGCTATCATGAACTCACATGTCTCTCGGGGGAGCAGATTGGGCAGGGGCCAGGTTATGGTATGGTATAGTATCGTTATGGATCTTGCGGAAAAAGGGGGTTTTTCACAAAAATAAAACGTCCACACTGCTTTTTTTGCACAAAAACCTAGCGCAAAAACGGAGCGGCAGAAAATATGCAAATGAGATTGCAACTCATGCAAATGAGTCCCTCATTGGCATATTTTTTGCTAAGAAAACTTGTAGTGTAGACGTAGTCAAAAAGACACAAGGTGCAAGACTGAGAGCACAGGATACTGCTCTCACATAGGCTAGGTGCAACATGCATAGCTATTATGCAGGCATCCACATACAGCACTGTCAGTTTGCTTCAGTCTTAACTATAGAGACCAGCTCTTGGGCTGAGAGATTAGTCTCTGTTCTTTCTACTGGGATGATCAAACAGCCAATTATAATGGTTGGTTTAGGGTTGTTGGCACCTGCCTATTAGGATTGGTCTAAGAAAACACCAACACATTCCAAAAAAGACCATCAGCTGGTAAGAATTTTCTTTAGCTATGAACATGGGCAGAATTCAAGTTAGTGAACTAGATGTGAAAGGCTTTGTATCCTATTGCAAATCTGTTGAACCATCCTGTTGCCTGAAACTATGGACTTAGTGATCCAGAACTAAATTAAATAAAAGCAGTACAATGAATGTCAGATTTGCACTCACTCATCCAAACATGTTATGTTATTACAATGCCACAGAGAGATGTTCTGTTGTTGAGATAATTGTGACTGTTTATTTCCTGCATTGCTTTTAAAGGACTTCCTGTCCTCCTTCTGGAAAAATTATAAGGATTTTAGAAATGAAAAAAATAATGACAAGATTGAGAATTATTTATTTAATGCCAAGTTGAAAGGCAAGAGACCTTAAAATGTGCAGAAGTATTTCCATATTAGTGTTAAAGGACGTGTTTGTCTGAGATAATAGTGCACAGCAATGTTCTCAGATGACACTGTAAAGTAGTCATTACATAGCTTTAAAAATAGCACAGTGAGAAACCAGTTGGACTTTCTGGTCAGCTTACTTTTTCTTCTTAAATATTTGATGGCACAGCTGGTCTTCACATGTCAGCTCCTACAACATTAAAACAATTAGTAAGTACATGTTGTTGTGAACTATGTTTCCCAGCTACAGCACCACCCTTTGAAAAAAAAAATCAGCTGGCATGCACTGCAGGTTGCCGTACAGTAAACTTCCAATAATCCGGCACCTTTAGGACCCAGGGAGTGCCAGATTATCAGATATGCCAGACTATCAGAAGGGGGGGCTATGAGGGGTCTGGAGTGGGGTGGGAGGGGATGCCACCACAGACCCCTCATAGCCCCCCTTACGATAGTCAGGCTCTGCCCCAGGAGTCCCTGATTGAGCCGCTGCTGGTCAGTTTCAGCAGCAGCTGAATCGGGGATGCCTGCAATAGATCAGCTGGGGTGCTGCCGGGTTGGTCCCGCAGCGCCGAGGGGTGGCACTACGGCACCAACCCAGCAGCACTCCAGCTGCTCTTGGGGACACCTGGGACAGAGCAGCTGGGGTACTGCCCAGTTGGTCTCGTAGCGCTGCCCCTCAGGGCTGCAGGACCAACCCGCACACACTTTTATCTGTGATACAAATTTTACAACCTTTGTGCTTAAAAAAACAAACAAACACAAAAAACAAACCCTAACAATGCAACATGCATTGGAGCTGGTATTTGGCAAGGACAGTAGTGAAAGGACTTTTCAGCTGCCAAAGTTACCATCCCTGGAAACATTCCCCCAAATTTGGTAAAATACAATTGCTCTGAGAAAAAAAATGTAGTTGCTTAAATAAGACATTTGCTTAAATAAGTATTTGACAGCAAAATTATCTCAAAACTCTGTTTGCATGAGCTCTAGTTGTAACCTTTAGATCCCCAACACACGGACTAATGGAGTTTTACTGTATTTAGTTTTTGACACTTGAATTGGGTTTTTAAAAGTATAAAAATAAAAAATGCATTGAAATTGCTCTGTAATGGTGTGGCTTTGCATATTGTATTATTAAAACAACATACTATAATTTATTAGAAGCACTGAAGCAAGAAGAGGGTGGAGGGAAGTTTCAGAAAGGACGGGCACAATTGCAATAGTGTTTCAACAGAAGCATGCACCAGCTTACTAGGTCCTCCTATTTCCAGAGATTTCAGTTTGAATCCTGGTGCCAATAATTAGAACTTTCATTAGTGCAATTACTGGCAAATTTTGAATTTATATTGTAATAGGGTAATAAAAGTCTGTCTGTCTGCTGAGTGACTTTGGTTTCTGCTTAGATGGAAGAAAACAGTAGGGTTTTTTAATTCATCTGATTGATCTTCTGACGGCACAAGCTTGAGGTAGAGCTTGATGGCCATCATGACCATCCTCACTGTGTGTGTTATCTAACGTAACTGAATTAACTATACAAAGAAAAGACTTCAAGGCAGATTCTCAGCTGGTGCAATTTTTCTTTGTTTCACTTAAGTCAATGGAGTGGTGCCAATTTCCAGCAGCTAAGGGTCTGGCTCTTCATGTGATAGAGGAGCCCTGCTATGAAGTAACTATTAATACATATTGTCCACCAATAGATAACTCAGAGCTCTGTATCATAGCCAACAATCCAGTTCCAAGGTGGAGAAATTCATATTCTGATAGTCAGGAATTATTTTGCCTATCACTACAGAGCCCATTCTCATAAAGTTAATATTAAAATACTCCTTACAAGTGTGTGATTTTGCCTCTTTCTAAGTCCCTAGCATCCAGCATTACCATGAACAATTTCCTGATTGTTCTTCCTGGAACTCCAGTGTTCCTGTTTGCTCTCATTTATTTTTCCAAACTTTATTGAGTGCCTTATTTCCTTTACTGGCCCATATGGCATCTCTCAGGCTCACTGAATTTCTTTTTGTGTCCCAGTTTACTCACTCAGTTGTCTTTTTTTCTTTTTGAGGGTTTGGGGAGAAGTAGCACAAGATAATTATAATATAGATTGTTTGCTAAGTGTCCCTGAGTATTCTGGGATTGTTTTTCTGATCTGCATCACTGCATAGTTCTTACTAGAGCTCATTTTTAGGAATGATGAAAGAAGCTTTTCTTGTAGGTAGGGATGTCAACGTGTAGTCGAGGACATAATTAATTGATAAGCCTGGGCTCATTGTTTAATCCTATCAAGTACAAGCACTCCCCCTCCTTGCTGCTTCAGTATCAGAGGCAGCAAGGGGGGGCAGGTGGGAGCCGGTGCCCACAGAGGCACCAGTTCTCACCGAGCCACTTGTCCTCCCCAGCCCCCACTGCCTCTGATAGAGAGATAGCAGTTGGAGGGTGAGGGGGCTCCCTGGGAGTGATGGTAGTAGTGCACTAGCTGCCCACCCCACCCCCAAGGACTACTGAATAATTGTGTAACCACTAAGATTTTATGCAGTTACATGATTATTAAATTAATTGATATCTAACATCCCTACTTTTAGAGCTTTTTAGTAAATACTGTGGTTTATTTTTTAGTATTTACTCAGATGAAGGAATTAGATGTGCTATGTAACTGTAAGAATTTAGGGCTGCAGCGAACCAAAAATCACTGTAGGTTTGTGTCTTTACACAATGCACAATCAACCTGTGGAACTCTTTGCAAGAGGATGTTGAAAAGAACAGGAATTTAACAAGATTCAAAAAAGAACTAGATAAATTAATGGAGGTTAGGTGCATCAATGGCTATTAGCCAGGATGGGTAGGAATGGTGTCCCTAGCTTTTGTTTGTCAGAGAATTGAAATGGATGACAGGAGAGAGATCATGTGATGATTCCCTGTTCTGTTCACGCCCTCTGGGGCATCTGGCATTGGCCATAGTTGGAAGACAGGGTAGTGGGCTAGATGGACCTTTGGTCTGACCCAATATGGCCATTTTTATGTTGTTATATCTTTGTTAGGCAGCAGGGGGAGACAAATTTAACAGCAGGGAGTTTGGTAGAGAAGGGATTTTAGAGTTTATATATCAGAATCATGTGAATGAAATGAATAAGAAAAATCCTTGAAACTACAGTAACTATACTATTCTGTAGTCTCTGGGTCATGCAATATCCATGAAAGTCAGCTCTTACCAGATGCAGTCTATCTCCTTCAATCCAGTGCGTCCAACCTCTGTGTTTTTTCTCACCCTTCTGAACACATACTAATTTATCACCATCCCAACTCACAAGCGTCTGCAAGGATCAAAGGATTAAATCCAATAAGTAAACCAGGGATTTTGGAAAACATTGAAACACACCAAAACTAACTGCAATGTGTGATCAGAAACACCCACCTGCTTGCATGAAGACACTAGTAGCCCAAATACCCCTTTGTCTAAAGTGGTATGTTGTCACTGGCTATATTGTTGGGCTCAACGAATAGTGATCAATAGTTCAATGACTAATTGGAATCCTGTATCAAGGAGACTGCCCTAGGGGTCAGTCCTGGAGCCTGCTTTGTTCAACGTCTTCATTAATAACCCAGATGATGAGTTGGTTTGCACCTTCAGCAAGTTCGTAGGTGACACGAAACTAGGGAGAGAGGTAGATATGCTGGAGTGCAGCAATAGGGTCCAGAGTGATCTAAGTGAAGGATTGGGCCAAAAGAAATCTCATGAGGTTCAGCAAGGACAAGTGCAGTGACCTGCACTTAGAATGGAAGAATCCCAAACACTGTTACAGGCTGGGGACGGAATGGCTAAGTAGCAGTTCTGCAGAAAAGTACCTGGGGATTACAGTGGATGAGAAGCTGGATATGAGTCAATAGTGTATCCTTGTAGCCAAGAAGGCTAATGGCATATTAGGGTGCATTAGGAAGAGCACTGCCAGGAGATCAAGGGAAGTGATTATTCTCCTTTATTTGGCACTAGTGAGGCCATATCTGCAGTATGCATCCAGTTTTGGGCCTCCCATTACAGAAAGAATGTGGACAAATTAGAGACAGTCCAACGGGGGGCAACAAAAATTATTAGGAGGCTGGAGTGCATGACTTAGGAGCAAAGGCTGAGGGTTTTGGGTTTATTTAGTCTACAGAAGAGAAGAGTGAGGGGGGATTTGATAGCAGCCCCCAACTTCCTGAAGGGAGGTTCCAAAGAGGATGGAGAAAGGCTGTTCTCAGTAGTGACAGATGGCAGAACAAGGAGCAACGGTCTCAAGTTACAGTGGGGGAGGTCTAGGTTGGATATTAGGAAAAACTATTTTACTGGAAGGGTGGAGAAGCACTGCAATGAATTACCTAGGGAGATGGTGGAATCTCCATCCTTAGAAGTTTTTAAGGCCAGGCTTGACAAAGCCCTTGCTGGGATGATTTATTTGGAATTGGTCTGCTTTGAACAGGGAGCTGGACTAGATGACCTCCTAAGATTTCTTCTAACCTCAAATTTCTATGACTTGTTTCTTCAGATACTATGGTACAGACTGTGTATGCAAAGGAGGGGTAATGAGCTAAATGAGTTTCTGATGCTATTTATAGAATAGCACTGCATATGAAAACTGTATTTTTTCTTTTCGTGCTATATGAGAGCATTCATAAAAAATATTATAAAGTGCAATAACTGGAGTGCTATGGCTCCTAGTGAATAGTGCAGCATTACCACCTACTTTGCCTTTATATTAAATCAGTCAGAAAAAAAGTATTAAATGACACTTATAGTTGTTTTATATCATCATTGAGGTGCTGTAACCAAGAGCTTTGAAGCTAGAACATTCATACTCATAAAGAGGGGAAGAAGCTTTGACAATATAAATAATTCATTAAAGGGCAAGAATAGAGGAGTGTCTTGGCTGCTGGTACCACTTCCTAGCATGCTGACAAAGATTATCTGATTGATGGGGGTAAACAAGGAAACACTCTACTGTCTTGTCTTATATTCAGAGTGTTAGCTCTTTGGGGCAAGATCAGTCTTGTTTTGTACAGCGCCTAGCACAATGGAATCCAAGTGTATGCCTGGAGCTCCTAGGTGCTGTGATACAAATAAATAAGTTCTAGGTAGAATGGGCACCAGAGTCAGAGGTGAGCCTCTCACAATGCAAAAGGAATACAAACAAGCCACAACTGGAGAAGTGTTGTGGCTGTGGGAGCACATAGTTGGAGATGGGGGAGAAGCTGAATCCAGAGGGAAGGTTCTGAAAACTTAAGAGGGAAATTTAAATTAGAACTGGAGACTCACATGAAACAGGGATGTAAGATCCCATTTAATTGATTAACCATTAAAATGTAGTGTTTAACTGGTTAACTGATTAAAGGAGGGACAAGTAGGGGTGGGGGCCAGGCTGATATTGGTTTAGATAAAAGGTGTGTGCAGTGAATGAATACAACAAATGGTTCAGGCCCTGATCCCTTAACAGGACTTTTCACAGAACTCCCCACTGAGTTCCAAGCCAGTTCCACATGTGGAGAGCTTGAAGGAACAGAGTAAAAAAGAACTGACAATTTTAAAGTAATGTGAAGGGGGAGGGAAGCCTTAGTAGTTTCAAAGTGCAGATTTAAAGTATAATTTCAGCAGCTAAGATTACTTTTAAATATAGAACATTACAAAGAGGTTTATCATAGAAAGACAGGACAGATTCATTCCTTGCCAGAAAAAAATGTAATTAGTTGTTGCTCTCACAAAACTGGGAAATCTTCCCGATTTACCTATAAAATAAATATTTGCTTTGTGAAACAAAATTGTCTTGAAATAGAAATTACTTACACTTTATAGAAAAACATTGTCTAATGTCTGTAAATTATTCTCCACCATTTTTAGGCAGGAAATGTACAGGACTGCTTGCCCTATTTTTAACTGCTGGATACATGGAAATCAAATACTAGATGTTTACCTGCACAACTCGGTTGTCAAGCCCTTTGGTCCGTTCTTCAAACTCTACTCCCACAGTGTAATTCAGTTCATAGTTTCTGAAAGTACTGAGTGTTTTTGTCTTAAAATTGTCTCCATCTTGAATAATTTCCTTTGTTTGTTTCAAGTGTCCTGCAATCTTACGAGTGGCAAAATCAATTCCTATCAACAAATAAAATATAATATATACCAACTTCTGGTACAAAGATACAAATACGATACTTTTATATATATACACCAAAACTATGAAAACTGTGAAAAGCATTTGCACATTTAATCCTCTCATTTACAAGTAAAATAATGTTGAGTAGCTCTCTTTACCCTGGTCTACACTAGGGAGTTATTTTGAAATAAACCCCCTTATTCTGAAATAATAAGCAGAGCGTCCACACTACTAAGCCCGTTATTTTGAAATAACAGGCTGGTTATTTCAAAATCTGTACTCCCGCTTTCCTAAGGGAATAACATTTATTTCAAAATAGCATCAGTGTGAATGTGCCCACTGCTTCTGTTTCAAAATAACTACTCCCCAGAATAATTCAAAGTAATTACTCCCCAGTGCTTCCTAGGGCTCTAAGTCGAGGTAGCATATCCACAGTAATAGAGTTTGCCTAAGACTAATTTTGAGGCTTCTCTGTAGTGTGGACATGCTATTTCGATTTTGTTATTTCGGGAGTTATTAAATCAATTTTAGTTATTTCAGAATAGTTTCCTAATGTAACCATGCCATTCTAGAATTTTTCATTAGAAACTCTCTGATATTTCTCATTAGAATTTTTATTTAAATGACAAAAAATTTGAGGAAAGTATGTGTTTTTCAACATATTTTTGATAAACATTTTTGTAAGGTATTTTTCCACCTTCATATACAGTACCTCTTTCATTTTTCCATGTCAAAATGAGGAGTGAAGGGGAGGCATGAACTAGAAGAAAAATGGAAACTCCCCAAGATTTTCAGTTTTCATGGTTGCTTTTATAACAGGTCTATTCGTATTTATAGAAGGATGTCACAATGTGTACCGCAGATGTGTATGTCAAAGTAAATATCTGATCCAGTGAATTTTGGCATGTAGTTTTTACTTCACCATAACCACAGATTTCTTTTTGGAGGGGAATGTGTATAGTCTGTGGAATGGGATTGCATTTATAGTAACAATGGAACTATACTGTGTGTGATTTAACACCCATCTGTCAAAGCCATTTTCCCCATCTTTGTAAAGTAGTCGAAACCAGAATCATATTAATTAGCAAACACTTTACAAAAATGATGCTTATATATAATACTTTATATATAATACAAAGATGGAAAGTTAAAAACAAAAAGGCAAATAGTCAAAGAGAATGCCTTCTTAATATTCATTCAGCATTTTGTGCTTGATCCCCTTTAACTTTCTGTATTCTGTTCATGATGAAAACTAACCTAATACAAACAACTACTTGTAACTGAATGCATTGAAAGTTATGTCAAATATATTATCATCATGACACAGGCTACTCTAGACAGTACACCTAATGCCAAATGCATTGCCGGGACAATAAATATTTGACCATTTGGCAGTGAGTCTTTTACTGTGCTATATGCAAATAGAATAATCTAACATATTTCTCCCAGAAACTGAAAAATAGTGTGGCTTGTTAACCATCCTTGAGTTTTTTCACAAACAGATTAATCATTTTCGTCACTTTGTACAAATGGAACCCATTTTCTTTTGGTGGATTCATTATGCTACTGCTAAGGCAATAATCGAATTGGGTGAAAGGACTGGCTGGAAAACAAAACAAAAAATGTTACTTCAACATAGGGAATAATGTTCAAATTCAAGAACTTTTACTCGGGGGAGCTTAAGTATATTTTATCTTTTGCTGTGGATTTAAGGTATCTCTGGGTCTGATTTATAGTTCTCTCAGAGGAAAGAAGTCTAATTTTCCAAAGGAATGCTATTTCTGACTAATATATTAGTTTTATGCTACTGAAGAAAATGAGGGGAGGTTTTATTAAAGCTACTCTTCATAATAGCATTTTGAACAATACAAGCAATAAAAATGAAATATGGTTCTATTAGATTAAATTGAAATACTTTGCAACATGCTTATGAAAAAAATTAGGATTCTGACTTAAAGGGCAAAATTATTTTTTAATTAAGGTATAGGAATGCATATGTAGCAATTATAAGGATGAATGAACCTCAAAAATTCAGCTTCATTGTGCTTTGGGCCTGCACTCCTTAATTCTTAGAATATTAACCAAATGTAAACTCAAGAGAAACCGAGCTGAAGAATCTCTTTTTACCATTCCCATGTCATTTTTTTTCATTAATAACACAGTGAGTGAGGGCCAAATTCTCAGTACCACACAGAGAAATAGGCATCTGGATACTACAGTGTTGCAAATTCGGTGAGGTGCTTTTCACTAGCACTGAAGGACAGTAACTAAAACATGGCCTAAATCTAGCTAGTCTGATTCAAAGCCAATTGGTGTAAAAATATGGCCTTCACTCCCTAACCTCACACCACATTTCTTACGGGGAGGCTAGCTTTAAACTCCATCAGTAGATTCAGTAGGCACCTTTCCAGTGGAGACAGTGCAGGAGATGCAATGAAATCTGTCTCCCAGGCAAAAAGTCCCTGTTCTCACCTGGTTTGGGTCTGCCCATTCACACTACCACACCAACCCCTGCTGAGCCACCCAGCAGATCAGGAATTCGGTGTGGCTTAAACTCCTGCCAATCCTTTTTCAAGCAGACTTCTCACTGCTGGGTCCTATAGCCCTATTTCCTCCCAAAGGGCCCAACTGACAGAATCACCACACCAATGTTAGCAGATGACACCCAACAGAAAGTCTAGGAGAGGAAAAGGAAGGAGGGTGTTGTGTGACATTACAACTAGATAAAAAGTAAGACTACCCGTTCTGTTGGAAGGGAGTCTCACGCTTATTTATGTGAAGTATCCTGAAATTGCTATTCTGTGTCTCTTGGGTGAGCCCATTATTTCGAAATATAATGGGCTCTCTATTCCAATGTCCCTGTAACCCTCATCCCACAAGGAGTAAGGGACATTTTGGAATAGCAATTTATTTTGAAATGAGTGCTGTGTAGAAAGCACCAAATTTCAAAATAAGCTATTTTGAAATTGACTTGAAAGTAGCTACAGAATTTGCATAACTCACATTGCATAGCTTATTTTGAGCTATGGGTGCAGTGTAGATGAACCCTTAGAGCCCTGCAAATCTGTGGATATTTGCTTTATATTTGTGGGTATCCACATCCGCAGATGTCAATGCAGATAGCTGCAACTCATTTCTGCAGATAAAAATTTATATCCGCACAGGGCTCTACTCTTGCTCCTCAAATATAAACTAGCCTATAAGGAAGAAGGATGCTTAAACAATGAAGATAATTTAGTCACCAAGAATGGCAACAATATTAGAATTTTCTCTTTACTGCCTTTCCCAACAGCACATTTATGTTGTTTAGAGATCACTTGTGAGTTAAGAGGAAAGAATTTCCCCATCCCTCATGCAGCCTTGCCAGTACTAAGCACTCAAAGGTCATGAGTCAGTCCACATGCACCAAATAATAATATTGGTTTAAAGTCATGCTATGAAAATAATAATCAATGTTGGGCACTTTTTATTTGCTTCCTGGTTTCTGAGCCACTAGGGTGCACTCATTTCACATTTTCAGGCTGTCCTCTGCAACCATGAGGCCTAGGCTCATACCACTGAGAAGAAGAAGAGAGCAACCAAACAAAAGAACGTTGAGATTCTCAGATTCAGAAGCTGATGCTTTAAGAAAAATATTAAATATCATGTGAGACTTGTAATGAAAGATGAGAGCTGGCAATGCTGCCCTTGTCTCTTTGAACAGTCTGAAAAATAAACAGTAGGGTTCTATTATGTGAATTTAACTCTATTAGAAAGCTATCCAAATCACCAAATTTAGCTTCAGCTTACAACTTCTTATAATCATTCAGAAAATTGATCATGAATTTAAAAATTCAGAATTTTAGGGAAATTATTACATTTACCTAGATTGCTTCAGTAGTTGCAGAAAATATTTTCTTTCTAACAAATCTATTTTTACATAGCTATGCAATATTGTTTTTATTTTGCCACATGTTTAGAAGGCATCAGCATTTATTTCAGAAGCTGAACTAACTAGTTTTTTGGCTCTGTAATACTTTGGCTCAGTATCAACCATCAGATAACTAATGCATAAGAAAGGAATAAGTCTGCAAGTACAAGCTGCCTTACTGTGACAGTGCTGTCTGATGGCACCAGACCTATACTGATAGCAATTGCAGTGGCAAGTTAGTGAGAGAGGAAATCTGGAGAAGTAATTGACAAAAATCAGCCCCCCCACTCAGAAGTCAATGAGATCACCTGTTTGAATAAGGGATACTTGGATATTATCAGAACTGGGCCCAAAGATTGGGTAATTTGTTACTACTAAAAATCCAAACTAAAATAGTTTTTTGTTTCTGCCACTTTTAAAATTGATATTCCAACTTATAAAATGAAAAAAAAAATCCTCTTAGTTTTAATTACCCCATTCTGCCATTATTTTTCACAAGTGACAGATCTAATTTGTAAGACAAGCTCTGTGAGTTCTCTGTGCTGAGGAATGTCAAAGAGGCAGAGCAGCCTGTGCCCCCTCCTCTTGCAGGCTGCAGTAGCAATCTGCCTGCTGCTGTGTTTCTAGCAGGGCTGAATGGGAGCAATGATGTGCTCTTTGTTTGTTCCCCAAACTGAGCTGCTATCTCAGCTGTCAGATACTTCCCAGAACTCTGAAAGGAGAGGGGAGGAGTGCATGCCTGGAGGGCATCAGAGATCACAAAACACTAAGCAGAAATCACAGATCAAAGCACAGTCATCAGGACAGGCATTGTGGGATACTGGCACAAGCCAGTTCTCTCCACAAAACAAACAGCAGAGTCCACACTGGCTCTTTGTGGACAATGAAGGAAGGGGACAAGACAAAAGTCTCTTGCAGAGGTGGAAGTTTTTTCTCACCAAAACTGGGTGCCCCAGCCCCACAAAAGTCACATTGTACTGTGAATGCTCTCGCTGTTTTGTCAATAAAAGGCCATTTATGGCAACAACACATGCCAGTGTAGACTAGGCCTTCATCTACCTAACAATCCTGTGGAATTACCGGAAGAGGTTCTCCAATTCTTTTTATTATATTTCTGATCCTTTTGCAAAGCTAGCTTTCACTCTTTGAGGGAAAAAGGGTCTTCTTTTGGAATGCAGTACTATTATTGCAGCAAAGAAAACTAGAAAATCACACGTTCAATGGAACCCAGAATACACAGAAATAGTGCTCTAAAAAGGTTTGTCTCTTCTGGAACTTGGTACCCGAGCAGCTAACTAAGGTCTGCTCCTGCTG